CCCCCCACCCCCGCCAACTGTTCTTGCCCATTCGTCAAAGGCCCCGCCCGTCCCAAATCACCGGCTGGGCTGAGGCGGAAATGGGCGGGGCCGCCTCAGGCTCCGCCCCCGAAGCCTCACTTCCGGGTGCTAACACGCCCCGCCTCGCCCCGGTTGCCGCTGTCGCAAGGAGACTATGGAGCGTCAGGTGAGGGCTCGGCCCGCGGTCCGTGTGGTCTCTGCAGCCCGGGCCAGGCCTGACCCTGGTGTGTCCCTTGCGCAGGTGCTGCTGAGCGACTCCGAGGAGGCGGCGGCGCTGTATCGGGGCCTTAGCCGCCAGCCCGCGTTGAGCGCCGCCTGCCTGGGCCCGGAGGTCACCACGCAGTACGGGGGCCGCTACCGGACGGTGCACACCGGTGTGTGTACGGAGGGGAATTGGGTGGCAGCGGGGCCGTGCACTCGGGCGGAGAGGAGGGGGGTGTGGAGGGTTCGTTTCTTGAGTGCGCACGGGTGTGTGGAGGAAGCCGTGGCGTGGAGGATCAGTCCTCACAGGTCGGTGCATACAAGTGTATGGGGGCGTGCTGTGCGGGCGTTAAGAATGGTGCCCATGAGTGCATGGGTTGAGGATGTGGGAGTAGAACTCAGACCTAACTGAATGCAGGGTGTAGGTCTTGTATTCTCCATCACCCCATCCCATACACATGCCAGGCCGCTCTAAAGATTCCAGGGTGGGTGCTGGGGGCAGTAATGGGTTCTATTCAAGAGGCTGTCAGCTCAGGCCCTGGAGGCCTGAACTTGGGTTGCTAAGTGTCATCCAGCCTGCACCCAGTGTCTGGAGACAGATTGGGGAAGGTAGGTCTGGGTAGGGGTTAGTGGCTGAGACTGGTCAAGACAAATTGAGCAGCCTCATGCCTCCCTTCACAGAGTGGACCCAGAGGGACCTGGAACGCATGGAGAACATCCGATTCTGCCGCCAGTACCTGGTGTTCCATGATGGGGACTCAGTGGTGTTTGCAGGGCCTGCAGGCAACAGTGTGGAGACTCGGGGGGAGTAAGTTTGAGGGAGGAAGCTTATGGGTAAGGCCACAGCCATCTGCAATGCAAGCCTTTTGTGAATACCCACCATGTGTTTGGATGCAGGTAGGGCCCGAAAGGGAGGCCAGGAGCTAGGTTCCTGCCCCATGGGAGCTCATTAGCTCTCTCTGGTGATGTGGTCTGATAAGCACTGGAGGCTTGCTCCAAACTCAGGCCACAGCTAGAGCCCACAGTGGCGTTGGGAGCTGGGGAGAATAGAGTCCCTGCCCCTAGGAGAGAGAGGCAAGGCCAGCTGCCATGGTGGGGCTAGAGGTGCTGTAGGGGCTGGTGTGGGGCCAGAGCCTCAGTATCTTGTCTAAGAGGTTATGGCCAGTAAGGGAGCAAGACAGAGCCATCATTGGATGGGAGGTAATCCTGGCCTGCTACCCGATGTCCTCAGGATGCTGAGCAGAGAGTCTCCTTCAGGCACCATGAAAGCTGTGCTGCGAAAGGCTGGAGGCACAGGCCCTGGGGAGGAGAAGCAGTTCCTAGAGGTAAGTCTGCGTGGGACCAAGTAGTAGGCAACTTGGGACTCAGTCCCAGAGATAAGGCTCTGTTGAGGGGCAGGCAGCCTGACACCCACATGTCCTCAGGTCTGGGAGAAGAACCGGAAGCTCAAGAGCTTCAATCTGTCAGCACTGGAGAAACATGGGCCTGTTTATGAGGATGGTGAGGCACCTGACTGGTGAGCAGGTGGGGTGGACAGGAGGGGCAGCTGTAGCCCCGGGGCACCCCCTGACCAGCCCTCCTGCACCCAGACTGCTTTGGCTGCCTGTCCTGGTCGCACTCGGAGACACACTTGTTGTATGTGGCAGAAAAGAAGCGCCCCAAGGCCGAGTCCTTCTTTCAGACCAAAGCCTTGGACATCAGTGCCAGCGATGATGAGATGGCCAGGCCGAAGAAGCCAGACCAGGCCATCAAGGTGCTCGTGGTTGTGGCCAGTCCATGAAGGCCCTGCAGGGAAGCCCCGGGACACAGTGTGCTCCCCTCCCACACTGCACCTGTCACAACTGGGAGGCACTGGCTCCTACCAGGCAGGGCAGGGTCTTGTTCATGGGCTGAACATTGAGTATCATGTATTCTCAGGGGGATCAGTATGTGTTTTACGAAGACTGGGGAGAAAACATGGTTTCCAAAAGCACCCCTGTGCTCTGTGTGCTGGATGTCGAGAGTGGCAACATCTCTGTACTTGAGGGGATCCCTGAGAATGTGTCCCCTGGACAGGTCAGTAGCAACTTGGCCTATGCCCCTCCTGGAGTCTGGGGTCCTGTTTGAGCTACTGCTCCTTGCTCACACCTGCCCTGTGGTCTTGCTTACAGGCATTTTGGGCCCCTGGAGACACAGGTGTGGTGTTCGTGGGCTGGTGGCATGAGCCCTTCCGGCTG